CTACAAACAACAAAATGTTGACAGGAGAAGAGATTTACAGAAAAAAGACTCAGAGATGACTTAGGTGATGGAACTATCAGAAAGCGTATTTAAAATAAATATAGTTATTATGCTTCAGAATTTTGTGTAAAGGTAGATAATGTAGAAGAACAGATGGTAAATTTCAGCTGAGAGGTGGTGGAAACTCTAAGAAACAGTCTAACGGATAGGCTATAAACCGAAAACAACACTGATAAAGGATGCCTTTGACAGACTCATTGGTAGATTCAACACAACTGATGAAAGAATCATTAAATTTGAAGCTAGGTCAATAGAAATTACCTAACCTGAAGTACAAAGAGATTCTTTCACATCGAACTAAATTATTTCATTATCAGTGGTCTTATACTTTAAGGAATGATCAAAGCACTTCTTCAGCAGAAGAAATATAACACCATACAGAAACTTGGCTCTACACACAAAAATTGAGAGATCCAGAAGTGGTTGAAAGGAAGATATTATAAAGACACTTTCTTTTTAGTTTTAATTTATTTTTAATTGAAGGATTATTGCTTTACAGTATTATGTTGGTTTCTATCCAACATCAATGTGAATAGGTCTACCCAAGTCTCCTCCCACTTGAACATCCCTCCCACTTCTCCCTCATCCCACCCCTCTAGGTTGTCACTGAGCCCAGACTTGAGTTCCCAGAGTCATACTGCAGATTTCCATTGGCTGTCTGTTTTACATATGGTGATGTATGTTACCATGTTACTCTGTCCATACATCTCACCGTCTCCTTCCGCCCTCCCTCCCCAAGCCATGTCCATAAATCTGTTCTCAATGTCTGTGTCTCCATTGCCGCTTTGCAAATAGGTTCATCAGTTTTTCTTATTTTTAGTTTCTCTGGAAGACTATTGATTTTCTAATGCAACAGCAATGTTTTGGGGTTTGTAATAAGCATAAAGTAAAATTTATGAAGTATTTTAAGAGTGGAGAAGGGAAGAGTTGGGAGTGTACTGTTTTCAGGATTTTATACTCTACATGAGGTGGTTTAATCTTATTTGAAGGTAGACTGTTATTTATTAAAGTTATATATTGTAAACTCTGGGGCAACCACTAGAAATTTTAGGGGGAGGTAAGAGTAAGCCAATAATGAAAAAAGAGGGAATAAAAAATAATCCAAAAGCAAAAAGAGGGATAAAGAAACAGAATAAATGAACGTCAAGGAACACATCAAGAAAACAGCTAACAAAGTATTAGTGTTTAACCTAACTGTATCAGTGATTATATTAAGTGTACATGTTCTAAATACCACAATTAAGATTATTCAGATTTTATAAAGATAAAAAAAGACCCAACTAAATGCTGTCTACAAGAAGAACACTTTTAATATAAAGTAATAGATAGATTAAAGTAAAAGAATAAAAAAATACACTATGCCAATACCAACCAAAAGAAAGCCAAAGTGATTCCATTAATAGCAGGCAAGATTGACTTCAGAACAATGAATATTGCTTGCAATAAAAAGGGATATTACACTATGGTGCAGAGGCTAGTTCATGAAAAGATAAAGCAATTCTAAATATGTATGAATATAACAACAGAGCTTATATATATATATATATAAAGCAAAAACTGAAAGGAGATACAGCTAAATACACAGTTGTAGTTGGTAACCATACCACTCATTTCTCAGTAATTTATGTACCAAGTAGAGAATCAGCGAGAATAAAAGGCATTAATAACATAATAAACTAACTTGGCCTAATTAAGCAGAATATACTTTTTTTTTCCCAGGTACTTACGGGATATTTAGTTAGCCAGATTTGGTGTCATAAATAAATACAAATAATCAAAATAATGCAAAGTATTGTGTATCATCATACATATCATGGGTCAAAGCAGAAATAACAAGGAACATTGGAAAATACTTTTTTCTGAATGAAAATATATCAACATCTAAAAGGATGCTAGCTTAGAGGAAATTTATACCATTTGACGCGATTCATGGGCTCACAAAGAGTCGGATGCGACTGAACTGAACTGATACCAGTTGATACTTATAATAGAAAAGAAAGTTCTTCATTTAGTAACCTAAGCTTACATCTTAACTAGAAAAGGAGAGCAAATTAAACCCAAATCAAGCCGAAGGAAGGAAGTAATTAAGGTCAGAAATCAGTGAACTTGAAAACAAAAGAGTAGAGAATGTCAATGAAACTAAAAGGTGTTCTTTGAAAAGATCAATATATTTGATAAACCTCTAGCCAGACTGACCAAGTAAAAAGAGAGAAAGCATGAATTAACAGTATCAGGAATGAGAGAGGGAATATCACTACAGATCCTACAGCAATTAAAATGATAATAAGTAATGTAATGTTTTGAATAGCATGATCACACTACATCAGAAGGGCACTCGAGCAAGACTTATCAAATCTGGTACCACTTGAGCACCAAAATAATTAAATACAATAATGAATTATAAATCTTTGAAAAATAAAAGAGAATTCATGGTTTCATATTGAAAATAAATAGCTAATGGAGAAAGAAGGCCTCTTGCTTAGAGAAGAATGTTGAATGCTAACTGATAAATATGGAGGGGGCACTGGAATTTGAATATTATTTTGCAACCATTGTCATAAAGAATGATTCAAGTAGAAGATACCAGTCAGTGCTGAATCTGAGAAAATCAGTTGAGAAGCAGGATATATCTGTGATCTGAAAGATGGATATCATTGCTTCTATATATGTAATATCCTTGGGAGGACACAACACCAATTGTGTCGTATTCAGGCTGGTAATATATAACCTGAACAACATGTGAAGAGATTGAGCAAGTTGTTGCCTCTTTGTTACTACTTCTTATGAAGTGACTCTTGGAACTTGGGTTGACTTTTCTGAGGTTCCAAGGTTAATATAAACACAAGACTATGCATAAATATTAGTCATTGCCATGCAAATATTTAGAAATACTTGGTTCTTCTCCACCTGAACCTAACTAAACCAGTCTCACCAGTTTTGTTCCAGAGATCACAATGTAACCAATGAGAGGTGTATTACCTTTTAACAGAAAAATGTGGAGAGATGGTGCCTTAGACCGTACCTCTGCTTTTTAAAGCCTTAGTTCTTTTAAAGCCTGTGGAAAAGCCTTGTAGGAGACCTTTTTCTGGGTTTGGGTCTCCTCTTCTTCTTTTTATTTGAAAATCATTTTGGACTTAAAGAAAACTGCAAGAATAAAAAGAGTACAGAGAACACCTATATACTTCACCCAGATTTACCCATTGTTAACCTTTTACCCATCTGTTAACATTTTAGCCATCTGTTAGCTGGCTAGTGTGTTTTTAGATTTTATTTTCTTTGTTTTGCAAGTGTTTTTGTTTTCTTTTGGTCATGTAATATGTTCTAAAGACCTTCCAAGCTAAAGAGGGTGCATAACATTTGCATTTCGAAGCCCAGATCTTTCTTGACCTTATTTGTGATTTCACTAAAATTGAGGCAACCTTTTATCTGGGATGAAGAATAAGATTGCAAATTTGTATAGTAGTGGAAGAATTCGTGTGCTCTCTGGAAAAAGTACATGGGGTGAGGGGTGGAAGTTGTCAATCTGAGTGTCTTCTGAAATTGTTTGAGAGAGAAATCTGGGGAGGAATTATATTGGGGCTAAAAAAGATAAGTAGTATTTCTTGATGAAGTTCTGTCTGGGGAGCAGAGTTAATAACTTACTGGTCATTAACATACAGTTGAGAGAGAAGAACAGGGTGCTTAGACATATGTTGATAAAATTACTTAGGTTGGTGATTTTAGTGCTCAAGTCCAAACTGTATTTTGATCAGTTAATCTACTTCTTGTTCCTTCCTAGAGGAGATGTACAGAAGAGTTTCGGCTACCATTTCCTGTTAATCACAGTCCTTGGAACTAAACTCCTTTTTAAGATCTAGAACTTAGTATGTCAGGATCGAAGAATGTTTTTCTGTGCTATAGGACCTTTGGAATTTTCAGGCCTGGTTATCAAGAGCCTGAGACGGGATCATTTTTTAGAGTAAGAAGATGTAAAAGGATTTTATGATCACATAAAAGAAAATGGAGGTCCCAAAGTTACTATAAACACAAAAGACTAGGCATATATACACAAATATTAATCATTGCCATGCAAATACTTAAAGGAAATTGAATGTCCTGTAATGGAATTGAGGTATTGGACTATCAAAATGTAGACTGTTCTTTTAATTCACATCTATTGAGTTATATTTTACAAGCCATTAAACATGGTAACTCAGACTATCTGTCAACATGTAAAAAAGCTTGAGACATATTTTGGAAAAATCAGAATATATATTTCCTGCACACTATGATTGTAACTAAAGCTATTTATATATATGAATAAAATGAATCATCATAAAAAAACTTAATTTATGAACTACTATATTGAAGTAGTCGATATGCAGGTAATTTTTCCTGCTCTATTACTTTTATACTTTCAGCAATGTTCTGTATTATTCGTGGTTGAAAACAAATTAACCACTTGAAAAAAATAAGCTTTGTTTTTTAGAGCAGTTTTAGGTGCATAGCGAAATTGATCAGAAGGTACAGATTCCCCATATACTCCCAACCCCTACCTGTGCATAGCTTCCCCTACTAGAGTGGTACATTTGTTACAGTTGATTAACCTTTAGTAAATCATCCTTAACACCCAGAGTTCATAGCCAGTTTTTAATTTTTTTAGTGCAGTTGTCTGAATTTTGAACATCTAACTGGGGTTTCTTGATCAGCAACTCAGAAATCTGTAGGTAGAGAATCTGGAACTCTTACTCTTTGACTCCTGCTAGAGACTGTATAAAAATGGAAGCAGTCAGAATTTTATTCTGGTTAATCACCCCGAAAGTCCTCTATCCTCATTTTACCTTTTACTCTTTTTATTTTCCTCTCACAGTCAGGGGACTGGGCTCTGCCTCTTTGGTTGTGACTGGGCAGTCCTGTCTGCAGTGTTACATCTGGAATTGTCTCCTTTCATCTCTCTCTAGGAAGTGCATTTTCAGCTGAGCACCTCAAGCTTCAACTCCAAAAGGAATCCCTAAATGAGTTGAGAAAGGAGTGCACTGCGAAAAGGTAAGCAGAACACTAAGAATGATTGTTAGGAGTGTTGAGTTTACTTTGAGGAGAGGATTTAGAACCGGAGTATTTTTTTAAAGCTGCCAGTGTTAATGCCGGTTAATATGCTCAGTGCCACTTTCATTTATTCAGCCCCTGTTGCGTCGTGCACTGTGCTAGAGGCAGTTATGAGGGCTCCTAGTACCTAGTCAGAATCGGAAGCCTGAACACTGTTCTAGATTGCAGGGCTACAGTACCATGACTTCATGTTTGAATCTCCTCCTCTTCCAGTCTTCTACATTTAGTGCATCTTACAGTTTTTCTTTAGTAATTTCTTCAGTCTTTCTCCTATTAGCTCACTTGCCTTACCTTAGCAGTTCTCAGATTCTCTAACATAAGTCTCTCCAGCTGTCCAGTTCATTCTCCATGTTGCTAGCAAACTTCTCCTAAAATACTATTTAACCATTATTTTTTTCTCTTCTTAAGAACAAGTGGTGATTATTTTCCTTCATTGTCAAATATAAAATGGTCCCCAGTGGCTCAGGGGTAAAGAATCTGCCTGCAACGCAGGAGGTATGGGTTCGATCTCTGGGTCAGAAAGATCCCCTGGAGAAGGAAATGGCAACTCACTCCAGTATTCTTGCCTGGGAGAATTCCATGGACAGGGGAGCCTGGCAGGCTATAGTCCATGGGGTCACAAGGAGTCAGACACAACCAATTGCACATGCACTGGAGATAGAACTGTAGCTAATTTCAGTTGTTATGTGACATTCAGTTAGCAAATGCTAATAGTTTTTCCCTTTATTTTTTGCAGCATGTGCTTAACTTGTTACCACCTCTGATCTTCTCATTTTCACTCACTTTTACTGGAAAGTCATCCCATTGTGCATTTTTGTTTAAGAAACTTTAGCAATTAAGAAACCTGGAAAGAACCTTAGAGATCATCTAATCTAATCCTCTCAATTTGCAGATAGGAAGGCAAAGCTGTGGAGATTACTCTTTGTCTGGTTCACTAGGAAAGCAGAACTAGATGCCTTTAAGTCTTCAGCTCTCTTTGCATTGCTCTGCTTTACATTCCACTCTGACCTACTGTGTTTCCTAAATTACCTTCTTTTTAATTGTTGACACAGTTGAGCAGGTAATATGCTTTATGCGTAATTTAGCTGTTAGTCATGTTTCTTAAATAGTGTAAGGGAAAAGCTGCATCATCTCATGCCACACCTTTTGGCTTTGTCCTTTTTATTCTATTACTTTTGTAATATGACAGCAGGTTATTTTTTGAGGTATTATAACATCTGTAATTGTAAATGAAAGTAGAATGCTGTTTTGAGGAAATAGCATATGGGTATTTCCTGCAAATTGGCCTTGATTTAAATGAGATTTTGGTCAGTTTATTGAGCCTCTCTAAATCTTGTTTTCTTGTTTGTAAAATAGGTATAGTAATATCAACCAAATAAGTTGTCATTGATATGATAATTAAAGCCGTTTGTAAAGCTCCTGGCGTATAGTAGTAGGTGTCCAGTCAATGATTATTTATATGTTTTACATCTCTTTTCATGGTGCTGGATACATACAGTAGGCCTCCTTATATAGTTAGGGTGATTAATGGTATATAATAGTTATTATTCTTGCTTCTGCTTCTGAATTTCTGTGGCAGATCATTTAATTTTTCTCTGTGTCAGTTAGTTGGAAATAACCATTACAAAGCAAGCAAGCCTGTTTATTTTTTGTTTTTTAACAAATGTGCTTTTTTCTTTCCTCATCAGAGAACTCTTTCTGAAGACTAATGCTCAGTTGACAATTCGTTGCAGGCAGTTACTATCTGAGCTTTCCTACATTTACCCTATTGATTTGGTAAGTTTCAGATTTTCTGGGAAAAAAAAATTTTTTTTAAGAGATTTCTATTTGAAATTTCCTCTCAAAGAAAACACCATTGCTCTAGTCTTGGCTAATATTTATTTTAAAAGTAGATTTAGAATTAGTTGGCATTAGGTTTCACTCACTTATTTTTTTCTGTCAATTTAGTGGTAGAGTGAACTCATCTTCACCTGAAAGAATGCCAAATTATTTCTGGTTTCTTTAGCACTTTTTCACCCAACCACAGTATCAACTTCTACCTTGTCTGAGACATGCATGCAGATACATACACATTGCTTTAAATATACAACTACTAATTAATTTATATTTATTAGTATTACTTAAGATATTCCTGTGGTAGCTGTCAAGATGTTAAGTTTCTGAATTTGGTTTCTTAGAGTAAGTACAAATGTAAATTGTTAGGATTCTTTTTTAGAGAATTAGATCTGCTAAATTTGGTGGTTTTGTTTTCTTTCTAATGAAAAGGGACTTAAAAGACTAATTTTCTGAAAGGAAAGCTAATAGGATTTTAGGTTGCTGAGAGACTTTTATTAATTCCACTTAAAAATTCTCATTTATAGCTTTGAATTGGTCAAAGAATAGTTAGCTTTATGGTTAAAGTTTTACATGACTTTTTGTTAGATATGTTTTTAAATGTCTGTATTATATAGAAAATTTAGAGTATATATCAAGATACAGATAATAGTATAATAAATCATCATGTATTCAGCTTCAACAATTAGGGTAATATTTTAAAATATCTATGACGGTATTATGTTTGAATTAACACCTAAATTTTTTAGATTTAGAGCTTCTTTGTTTATACATAAAATTAATTTCATCCTTTGATTATATTCGCAGAATGAGCATAGAGATTACTTTGTATGTGGTGTCAAGTTGCCCAATTCTGAGGACTTCCAAGGTATTTTATTTCTTTTTACTTCTAAAGATTTGGTATAAAATATGAGTGTGTTGCAGGGAAAAAGAGATATCTTGAAATGTTGGTTGCCTGTCCCTTCTTCCAGAAAGGTTTTGGAACCTTCTGTCCCTTCCCAATTGTAAGTATATAGAATCAGATTCCCTGATGGAAGACTTAAGAGGATATTTGGTCTCATCATGGGGGGAAAATTGTTGCACTTTCCATTTGATAGTTAAAATTTTTTTTAATGGGGTTTAATAAAATCAGACAGTAGGGTTCTCAAGAATACTAATAATATTCCTGTCCTTTTGGTTTTATTTTTCATGAAAAAATTGTGTTGGGAGCAAAACAGTAAACCTTAGTCTGCTCTGTTTATAAAGTTATATTTCTGCTGACATAAAATGTATTTGAAAATTAAATTTTGTGACATTCCCACTCCCATAGGTTAAACTTGTTATACTGTCATTTCTGTCCTCTTTAATTAAAAGAAATTTACATTAAAGATGTTACAAATAACATTCACAGTAATAGCTATATTTTAAAATATTTGTCCTAATCTTTTACCAGTATGCCAGAGAAAAGAACTTATTTGACATTTGGGTAGAAAGATTACTTTTATTGTTAGCAGAGTGGGTTTGTTTCTCCTAATGTAAACAATGCTTTGAGGACTACTAAGTAGTTCTATCGATTATGCCCAAAGCTAGCACATTAATCTATTTGGGAATAAGTTATTCCAGAATAGAGCATTACTAGTTCTTATTGGGACTTGCTTCCATTTCCCTGTAAAGAATATGTTATTTGTGATCCTTTAACATTTAAGGCTGCTTTAGTATATTACCTTCTTTGTCCTTTACAGCACGTAGTTGGAACATAATGTAAAACGTGTCATAAATGAACCTAGCTAAGAAACAAAAATAGAATCAGGGACATAGAGAATAGACTAGTGGTTGCCAAGAGGGAAAGGGATGGTAGAAGGTAGGAGTGGGAGTTTGGGATTAGTAGATACAAACTGATATATATAGAAATAACAAGGTCCTAATGTATAGTAAAGAAAACTATATTCAATATCCTTTGATAAGCCATAATGGAAAAGAATACAAAAAAGAATGTGTATGTGTGTATAGTTATATATGTATATAACTGAGTCACTTTGCTATACAGCAGAAATTAATACAGTATTGTAAATTCAACTGTTGTGGTGGTTTAGCTGCTAAATTGTGTCCAACTTTTGCAACTCCACGGACTGTAACCCACCAGGCTCCTCTGTGCATGGGATTTTTCAGGCAGGAATACTGGAGTGGTTTGCCATTTCCTTCTCCAGGGGATCTTTCCGACCCAGGGGTCCAGTCCGAGTCTCTTGCACTGCAGCAGATTCTTTACTAACTGAACTACTATTTAACTATACTGCAATTTAAAAAAAAAATTTTTAAGTGATTAAAACAGGAATGGGAAGACCTGTATTTGAATCCTGGTTCCCTTTCTAGAAACTATGTATTTTGGACCAAGTCATCGAAGCTTTGAGTTGATTTTCTAGTTGATAGTATGAGCACATTAGTTCATGTACTACCTACTTTACATGATTGTTAAGATTTTATTTAAGAGCAAGACATTTTGCCTTATCCTTAATCCTCCCGAAAACAAAATAACCCAATAAGAAAGGTGGTATAATCTCACTTTATAATGTGTGAATGAGCTATTTAGTGACATGGTCAAGACCACAGAACTAGGTAATGATCTTGCTGGGATTTGTCTGGTTTCCCATTGTACAGTGTTCCCACTCATCTCTGTAAGTCATACACATTTGCTTTGGTGTTAATTTTAGGTAATGGTGTCTTGAAGTTCATGGCACATCTTTTTCCCCATTCTTTCTTTCATTCATTTATTTATTAAACCTAATAAATACCTTGAGCCCTTGGCCAGGTTGTAGGAATACAGAATATTCTTTCATTGAAAAAAATAATCAACTGAGCACCTAAATGCCAGGCGTGTGCCACTTTGAGGATATGATGATGGAAAAAGCAAATATATTCTCTTCTTTCATAGAGCATACGACCTCTTAAAGGAGATAAAAATAAAGGTAATAAATAAGAAAAGAAGTATTTAACAAGTATTTAATAAAAGAGTATTCTGTCTTGGAGAATAGGGAAACCTACTGTAGATAAATTACTCAGAGAAGACCTCTCTGAGGAAAAACGTTTAACAGAAAATCTGAAGGCTGAAAGGAACCAGTCTTCCCTGGAGGCTCAGCTGGTAAAGAATCTGCCTGCTGTGTGGGTGACTTGGGTTTGATCCCTGTGTTGGGAAGATCCCCTGGAGAAGGGAATGGCTACCCACTCCAGTACTGGGGCCTGGAGAATTCCATGGACTGTATAGTACATGGGGTTTCAAAGAGTTATACACGACGGATTGACTTTCACTTCACCCACTACAGCTGGGGGAGAAGAAATCCTAGAAGAGGGAGGAGTCATGATTGAGGATTCTGAGGAATCAGCTTGATATATCTGAAAAAATTCAGGGCAAGGGGCATGGGAGAAGATACGTGTATTCTGGGAAAATCATGTAGTTTCTCAGAGCTTAAGTCATGTATGGATGTGAGAGTTGGACTATAAAGAAAGCTGAGCACCAAAAAATTGATGCTTTTGAACCGTGGTGGTGGTGAAGACTCTTGAGAGTCCCTTGGACTGCAAGGAGATTCAACCAGTCCAGCCTAAAGGAAGTCAGTCCTGAATGTTCATTGGAAGGACTGATGTTGAAGCTGAAACTCCAATACTTTGGCCACCTGATGTGACGAGCTGACTCATTGGAAAAGACCCTGATGCTAGGAAAGATTGAGGACAGGAGGAGAAGGGGACGACAGAGGATGAGATGACTGGATGGCATCACCAACTCAATGGACATGAGTTTGGGTAGGCTGTAGTAGTTGGTGATGGACAGGGAGGCCTGGTGCGCTGCAGTTCATGGGGTTGCAAAGAGTCGGACACGACTGAGTGACTGAACTGAACTGAATTTCTTCACCTGTAAAATGAGGTAATATTTACATCTTCAGTTGTGATGATTGAATGAGATAGCATTTGAAAGAGCTTTTCCTATAGAAGGCACTCAATAAATGGAATTAGTTGCCAGAGAGAGGAAGGAAGGACAGACCAGAGCAAACCTGTGTGGCTGGGGCAGGGTGAGAAAAGAGAAGAATTCCATCAGTAGATGTAGGAGAGTCAGCCAGGGTCTTGAGGCCACTGAAAGGAGTTTCTATTTTATTCTCGGTGGAGTGGGAAACCCTGAAGGGCTTCAAGAAGGGGGATGATATGAATTGATGGTTTTTAAAAGTCACTCTGGCTGCTTAATATAGAATGATTTGAGAGGTGGCAACAAGAGAAGCAGGGATACTACCGGTGTTAGAGTATCACCTCAATTCATTCTGGGATGTTTCTTGATTCTATTTTTGTATTCTGGAGTTGATTTATTTCCTAATTTTTCCCAGCTTTTGTTCCCTGTCTGTACATCCAAGCTGAATACATTCCTTCTTCCCCTAAAAAAATTAGTGTATCTTTTAGTTTTAGTGCAGTTTTTACTGCTAAAAATGAAATGAAATAAATGTTTAATTCTACTCTAAGGCCCTATTTACTTACCATGACTTGTAGGAATTAGTTTTAAGAAGCACATATGGTAGTATTGGACTTTAAAATCTTACGTTCGCATTCTGCAAGTTACTTCCATGTACTTTTGAATTTACTGAGTGCCTTGTGTGTGTCATTTATGGTGCCAGGTGCTGGGGGTATGCAAAGGTGACCAAGGCATTGATCCTACCTCAGTGAAACTTCAGTTCACTTGAGGTTAACTTGTAATCAAGCCAGTCAGTAGATACCTCTTGAATTTGTACTCTTTGTCAGGCACTTAGAAGTTTATACAAGGTATGCAGGACTTAAAGAAGTAGGAATAATCAGATCTACCAGGAGGGAATCAGGAAAGTCTTATAGAGAAGATGATACCTGAGGTATTTTTAAAGATTAAAATAGTATTACCTTGTTGAAAGAAGGATGGGAAATTTTAGATTCAATGAGTAGAAATATATAAAATGGAACATCATACATGATGCTGTCTTGTTTACTTAATCCCCACTACTGTGAGAATCAGTTCCTGCTGTGAGGGAAAGAATTATACTCAGCTTTTTTTTGTTGTTTTTTTCTAAAGACAAGAAAATTGAGGCTCAGCGAGATTAGTTAATTTTTCCAAAGACTCATACTAGCCAGTGGCAGAACTAAAGTCATCCCTGGTTGGCCTGATTTTAAGGCCCGTATTACTCCTGTCATGATGCAGTTTTCCTCCTTGTTTTGAATAATAACCTCTTCCAGACATCTAACAAGTTTTTAGTGTTCTGTAGCAGCTGCATGCTTAGTAAGACTCTAGTGACGGAAATCTAAACTGGTTTTCTGTTATATTCATGAAACTTTACTGGGATAGTCTTTACATTGCATGGCCTGATACTGTTTGGGAAACTCCTGTATAGTGGCCCAATATTTGTTGTGTTCTTTCTAACTGGGTAAGTTTCTGTTAGAATATGGCAGAGAGACTTGGACACAAGTGGGGAAAGTTGTCCCATGAAGGGTTTTCACTTGAGTTCCATTGACTGGGACATTTCTCATCCAAAAAAAGAAAAAACTGTGTGTTTTAAGTAATCTATAACACAAGAGCCTTTTGTGGTAATGAGACCCAGATTTCCTTCTGTGTCTGTATCCCTTTATGCAGGCATGATTTCTTGGAAAGGAGAGTCCATATGTCAAACACTGTCTCATTGAGAACGTGGAATGGTTCCATAAATGCTGTGGCAATGATTAGAGTCTTAAATATTTGGTCCTGTCTGGATCAGTGGGTGCTTGATTCCTTACCAAATCAACTGCCTCAGTGATTGGGAAGGCAGGATGGTAAGAGCTTTTAGTTCACTTATTGTACTTGGATGCATTTGAATATTAATAGTTTGTCCAACATGTTAAGTCAAAGAGGCATTTGAATTAATTTATAATGTTGTCATGGCCATTGTGAGTTTGTGGAATCTATTGTCATAAAAGTTACATAGAAGAGGCTAATGTAATTGTTGTGAGCATGCTTAAAATAGACTAGGCAAGACTAGGTTAGATATTTTAAATCCATTTTAAAACATTTAAAATGTTCAGCCTACAAGGTTTTCAACTTGCAATGAGTTTATCGGGATGTAAACCCATTGTAAACTGAGGAAGATCTGTAATGTAATGTGAATCAGATCTGCAGTATTAATTAACCAAAATAAATGCATGTCTAACTCTTTTCAGCTTAAAAAAAAAAAAAAGAGAAATTATATAAAAGATTTATTATCACAAAAATTACTGTAGCCCCAAGTAAATGTAGCTACCTACATTTTAAAAAACAAATAGGAAATATTTATTGTGAGGAAACTGCAGAATTGTTGTTTGTGAGCCCCTTAAAACATTATTTTAATCAGAGCTTTTTTCCTTTACCTGAGTCTTAACAGCTTATTCCTGTTCTTCCCTGAACCCTCCCATTCCCCCTCTAGCTTCTTTTCACCAACAAGCCTGTCATCTGTGACCTCTTTACCCCACAGAGCAGCATAAGGAGCACAAGCCTCTGCTCTGCATCAGGTGTTAGGGACGTCATTAATGGTTCCTGGAAAAGCACACCCCAGAGAGCCAGGTTTTGGCTTTGGCAGGTAAAAAGTCTTTTAGATCTTGGAATGCTGGAAACCTTAAACCTTTCAGTTTTTTTACCTAAAGTGATTGGCAACAGAATGTGACATCTGAGGTTTCGTGGCCAGCAATAGCCATAATTAACCACATGAGCTCACATTTTCCCACTGGAGGTTCAGTGGCCTTGGGGTGATGAAAGTGACTTCCCTACCAGGAGGTGGTTTTCCTTTTGAGGGTATTGGAGTACCCGTGGGCCCTGTAATGCCTCACCCGTGGTCCTTTTAAAATGCTTTTTAATATAAAGTTTCAATAATTAGAAATCCAACACCATGGTGTTTAACTGTGAGGCTGTGACTGAACACTATGGCCTGGAATGGGAAGCAACCTAGGGTTTTTAATGGGTGAGTGGTGGGAGTCTTGTGGTGGAAATAATGGTAGTGTGAATAACCAGAATCAAAGCTGATTTCCAGTATTACCCAGTTTGCAGTTTTTGCTATTTCTTTTTGGTTTTTGCTCTATGTATACAGGATTCTCTTAGAGATGCCCTTTTATGTTTAATTTAAGCAAAATTGTTTTATTGAAAGGAGGTAATGTTAGAAGACCTATTTCTGTTCTTTTATTCGATATGTAGATGTAGTCCTTGAAATAGATAATTGTAATGCTTTAGTATTACCCTTTTAGTAATATGGAAAAATGGAGATGCTTGAGTGTTTAATATTGGATAGATTTTTTAAACATTCATAGTTTGCATTTGACCTGTTTGGCAGGCTAAGAGGCCCTCTGATTTTTGGAAGTTTGCAAATCCTTTTCTGTAGGTCACATAGAAAAGGAAAACCTTAGTGCAAAGCACATGTGTGTGTGGGTGCTCAGTCACTCAGTTGTGTTCGACTCTGCAACCCCATGAACTCTAGCCCACCAGGCTCCTCTTTTCATGGAATTTTCCAGACAAGAATACTGGAGCAGGTTGCCATTTTCCATCCTAGGGACTCGATCCTGATGCAGGGATCGAGTCCCACCTCTCCTGCTTGCTAGACAAATTCTTTACCACTATGCCTCCTGGGAATCCCGAAATACACAAAGGAAAGTCCAAACTTAATGTAGTTTTATTCTTCATTACTTACTGAAAGTTTTCTTTTTCTTCCTCTTTTCCTCTCCCTTCAAAGAGGATTCTTAAAGACCAAGTCCTTGTACTAATAGGAATATTTTAAATTTAATAAGCCCTATATTTTAAAGAAAACAGGAGGGTGGGATTCAGCAGCCTGTTTCATGGTGCTCATTGTCCCAGCTGTGATTCCAGGGATAGATACTTGAAGGGGCTGGGGTGTAGATACAGTTCTCTTACTCCCGCATTCATAGTTTTTACTTGGCTTTGACTAACTCAGTTATACCACTTGAATCTTATTTTTCTCATTTCTAAATTAGTAGCATCAGATTTGGTGATTTCTAAGGCTTCTCCCAGCTCTGATATTATATGATGGTTAAATTATATTGTGATGAATTTACAGTGTAATATAATTTTAGTCTCTAAGGTAGTCTGATATGCGTATTTCAACAGAAGTAAAGTATTGTAGTACTCAAAGTACCTGAGTGGGACTGAGCCAGGAGCACATGGTCTCTAAAAATAGTTAGCCCTAGTCAGTTAAGGCATGCCCAATAGTCAGTTGAAAGGAATGCTGTTTGATTTTTTTTTTCATCAGTTTGATTTGAGAGAACATGTCACCAAAGATTCACAGACTTTTCATGTGTTTTTTGCTCTTACTAGAAAAGAGTGAAGAAACTAAAATAATAAACATGTGTCATATGTTTCTCCCAAGTTAAAAAAATTGTTACGTATTCCACAGTAATGTTCTGCAACAGTATGGTAGAGTGCTTAAAGACAAAGGCCTTGGTGTCAGGTCAACTGCTATACTCGCTGTATTAGTTTGAACAGGTTCCTTAACTTCTTGAACCTTATTTATTCATCTGTAAATTGAGTGAAATAGCATATAAAACATGCCCAGTTTATTAATTTTTGATGAATGAGTGACTGCCAGAAATAGAGCACCATGGTTAATTCCTGGCAGGAAAAAGAAAGTGTACAATAAAAGTTACATATTTTTACAGTATGATCAAAGAATCTGTTTTGGTAGTCGAGTGTGGAGAATGCACTCAGTGGTATATGGCAGTAGTTGCTTTCCTGTACAGTAAGAAGGTGGTGCTCAGATAACCAGCTTTAAATGTAAAAGAAGAATGTGGGAAGTATTACTGAAGACTGAAGTTAAAGTTACTCTTAGAAATCAGGAAATACTCAAGCCAAGGTCATCTCAATCATTTTAGCCTTTCTCTAGCCACAAGTATTCCAGATACGTGTTAAATCTGTATGTGTGTAAGAGAGAGAGACACAAAGAGAGAGCTTTTTCAACTATTTTAAGAATATCATATACCAAGCAGTTACTTTTTTCTTCTCCCTTGGGGCAAGCTTAAAACGTCTTATTGTATTATTCTCAGTTCTGAATACTTGAATGATTATCACTTCATAGGCAGTAGCAGAACTCTAGATGTTGAGTTAAAAATCTGTGACTTCTTACAAGATATGTACTGTAGGATACATGTATTCTTTTTCCAACACTTACTTCCACCGAAATTGCATCAATAGGATGTATTAATATATAAACAGTGTGGGTTTTTTTTAACCTTTTACTATTTAAAACACTTTTTTTCTCTGTCCTATCTCAGACATCACTGACTTATTTAAACAATGCTCTCTTTATGAATATTGAGAATGTACCCTATAAGGATGTGCTGTGCTATTTCACTTCACCTTGGAATTAATAATTTTGTGCAATAGTATAACAGTACAACTATTTTGGTTGGTAAAGTTGTTAATGAATAAAATGTATGATGTTTATATAGTATGCAATGTTTAAATCTCTGAAACTAATTTTCACATTGTATAATAGACTCTAGTATTATTTTTGGCATTAAAAATGCTGGGAAAGTAACGAAGACTTGACTGTACTAAGAACTCTTAAGATTATATATCAAATGTTAATCTCACCACATTAATTATTGGGAAGTAGTTTTAAATATAGTAGATGAAATTTCAAATCTTACTAATATATTTAGATGTGTGTAAAATCATAATTTAGATAGGTGAATAATATTTTATCAATTATTTCTTATAAAATCTCTCTTGAAATTGGTTCATTATGATCTTGTAGCTAGAGTTATGAAGTAAATAGCTGTTTTCTGTTTCTCTGTTTTTGAATTAACAGCAAAAGATGATGGGAGCATTGCTGTTGCCCTTGGTTATACTGCACATTTGGTATCCATGATCTCCTTTTTCCTACAAGTGCCCCTCAGATATCCTGTAATTCATAAGGGATCTAGATCAACAATCAAAGATAATATTAATGACAAGCTGACTGAAAAGGAGAGAGAGTAAGTATCCTTTTACAATATACTTTTAACATTGGGCCAGTATGAAGCATCAACTGTATTAAAAATATAGAATGTGACCTAGATTGTGTAATTTTTGTATATCCTTTGTGTAGTGCTCTGTTTTCTTTTAAATAAAATGTAGGCAGAATTGCTAGTGACAGCAAAACTGACCCATTCAAGTTTAATTTGCTTTTATGAGGCAAGTATCGGGCCTTCCCAGGTGGCTCAGTGGTGAAGAATCCACCTGCCAGTGCAGGAGATGCTGGAGATGCAAGTTCAATCCCTGGATCAGGAAGATTCCCTAAAGGTGGAAATGGCAACCCATTCTAGTATTCTTGCCTGGAAAATCCCATAGACAGAGGAGCCTGGCGGGCTGTAGTCCACAGGGTTGCCAAGAGTTGGACACAGCTGAGCGACATGCATGCAGTAGTGACCTTACAGAAAGCATTATGAGGTATTCCCTCTCTTCTACTTTCTTGGAAGAGTTTGAGGTTTGTTGTTAATTCTTCTTTTAAACGTTTGTTAGAATTTACCAGTGGAGCCATGTGATTCTGCACTTTTCTTTGTTGGGAGGTTTTTGATCAGTGATTCAGTTATAAGTCTGTTCATATTTTTTTATATTCTTGACTCAGTTTAGATAATTGGTGTGTTTCCAAGAACAATACCACTTCATCTAGGTTATGTAATTTGTTGGTGATAGTTGTTTGTAGTATTATCTTATAATCCTTTTCATTTCTGTAAGGTCTTTAGTGATGTCTATTTTCATTTCTGATTTTAGCTGTTTGTGTCTTTTTTATTTCCTTACTGATGTGAAAAACTTATCTAGAATAAGAAGAATTGATGGATGTTTTCAAAGAATTCACTTTTTTATTTTGTCGATTCTATTATTTTTGTATTTTCTTTTATCTCCACTCTAATCTTTATTATTTCCTTCATTCTGCTAGCTTTGGGTTTCGTTTTCTATTACTTAGATGTAAAGTTAGGTTACTGATGTGAGAGGTTTCTTTTTTAGTCTCAGTTTTTATATCTTTAAACTTCTACTTTCACAATAAATTGTGGCATGTTGCATTTTAATTTTCATTCATCTCAAAGTATTTTGTAATTCCCCGTGTGATTTCTTCAGTTAACCCCTTGGCTGTTTTAAAAGTTTAGTTTTCACATTTCTGAATTTTCTAGTTTTCCTTCTGTTATTGAACTCTAGTTTAATTCCATTGTGATGGAGAAATAGTTTGTATGAGTTCAGTATGTTTAAATTTATTAAGACTTGTTTTGTTGCCTAATATATGGTCTGTCCTAGAGAATGCTGTACATGCATTTGAGAAGAAAATATCTTCTATTGTTAGATGCAATGTTCTATATATATGTTAAGTTTAGTTCATTTATAGTGTTGTCAAGTCTTACATGTCCTTATTGATGTTCTGTCTAGATATGCTGTCCATTATTGAAAATGGAGTGTTAAACTCTCCAACTATTATTGTAGGACTGTTTCTCTTTCAATTCTGTCAATGATTCTTTTATTTGGGGGCTCTGTCATTTGGTGCATATATTTTGAGATAACTATTTCTTCATGAACTGACCCTTTTATCATTATATAATGAACTTTTTTGCCTCTTGAAACAAGTTTGACCTAAAAACTATTTTGCCTGATATTAGCATGACCTCTCAGCTCTCTTTTGGTTACTGTATTTGGGACTATCTTTCCCATCTTTTCACTTTGAACCTATTTGTGTCTTTGGCTCTAAAATGAGTCTCTTGTAGGCAGTATATAGTGGATCATTTTATTTTAACTCCTCTCTGCAGATCTTTGCCTTTTGATTGGAGAGTTTCATTTACTTCTATTTAACATAATTTGTGGCATGAAAAGACTTCCTTCTGCCGTTCCCCCCCACATTTCTTACACCTTTTTTTGTGCCTCATTTTCCTCCACTACTGCCTTTTTTTTCTTAATTGATTTTTTTGTAGTGTACCATTTTGATTCCCGTCTCATTTCTTTTTCAGTGTATTTAAGATATTTTCTTATTGTGACTCTGGGATTACAGTTAACATTCTATAACAGTCTACTTTGAAATAATAGCCACTTAGCTTCATTATATGTAAAAACTCTGCTCCTCTATACCTCTGTCTCCCCCACCTTTAGGTTCTTATTGTCACTGATGACATCTTGATGCATTGTGTGCCCATACTACTGTGTTTTTAATTTACCTGTGTAGTTATCTTCACTGGAGACCTTTATTTCTTTGTTCAGTTTCAGTAACTGTGTAGTGTCCTTTCATTTCAACCAAGAAGGCCTTAGCCTTCACTTCTTACAGTAAACCTAGCAGTTAGCCAGAGGTGAAAGCCTAGGGTCTTCTCAGGTCTTTTCTGAGCATGCATTCTGTTCTGAGCATGTATACAACATCCTTTTTGTTTTTAAAATTTTTATTTGATTATTTTATTTTTATTTCGTATTGGAGTGTGATTAACAATAGTGTGTTAGTTTCCTGTGCACAGAAAAGTGATTCAGTTAAACATACACATGTATCTGTTCTTTTTCTCATTCTTTTCCATTTAGGTCATTACAGAATACTGAACAGAGTTCACTGTGTTATACGGGAGGTCCTTGTTGGTTGTCTGTTTTAAATACAGCAGTGTATACATGTCATTCTCAAACTCCTAATCTATCCCTCCCCTGACCCTTCACCCTTGGTAACCATAAGTCTGCTCTCTGTGAGTCTGTTTCTGTTTTGTAAATAAGTTCATTTGTATCATTCTTTAAGATTCTTCATATAAGCTATATCATATGATACTTGTCTTTGTCTGACTAACTTCACTTAGTATAGTAATCTTCATGTCCATCCATGTTGCTGCAAATGGCATTATTTTATTCTTTTCTATGGCTGAGTAATAGTCCATTGTATATATGTACTATATTTTCTTTATCCATTTATCTGTCAGTGGATATTTAGGTTGCATCTATGTCTTGGCTATGGTAAGCAGTGATGTGATGAACGTTGTGGTGTGTGTATCTTTTCAAGCCATGTTTTTCTCTGGATATATGTTCAGGAGAGGGATTGCTGATACGGCAATTCTGTTTTAGTTTTCTGAAGAATCTCAATACTGTTTTGCCCGGTGACTGCACCCACTAACATTCCTACCACAACTTCTGATTCCACAGTGTGTGGGTATACTTTTGAATACACTAATTTCTGAAAGCAGTTCTCCCCAGCTGTTCCTCCCAGACTAGACAGTCTGTTGTGTGTCTCAACCTTAATCTTTTGCCTAAGGAAGCAGTTAGGTTTGTTTGTTTGCCTTACTTCTTGAACATTGTCCTGTTTTTACTCTCTTGAGTGAGTTCTGACTAGGCAAAACAAAGGCAAGCGCCTTGCATTCATCCTTCAGGTTGCCCCCAGACAAGTTAGGACAAACCAACACAAATTTTTTACTGTGCTGGTAAAAAAAAATAAGATCTGCTCTGCTCCCTTAAGAACCAGGAGTCAGGGCCTCACACTTGCAGTCTGCTGTCTGTAGGACCACTGCTGAGCTGGAGAGGAGGTGAGGGACAGGATAAGTAAAAATACTGCAAAGTGTTCCTTCTGATTTTGAGTTTCCTTTTTCTTGATTGATTGTTCAGCCAGTTGTGAACCTTTGATGGACAGTTTTTGCTTGATTTTTCTTTTTTCCAGTGTTTCTCTGGAGGGACCAGTTCTTTGATCTACTAAGTACTCTACCATTTTTGCTGATATCATTTCATTTGTTCATGTAATGATGAAAAGTACTACTTATCAGGGATGAAGGGATCCCCTAAGTGATTTTAAGAGGAGAGAATACCATAACCAGATATATCTTTCACAAAGATAACCTTGTAGATTTGTGGAGAATGCCCACCCCTCTCAACTTTCTCTTGGCTCCATATTAATAAAATTAAGTATCTCTTCAGATTTTTATCAAATTTGCTCATGACGATCTGCCTTAAAATAATAGTTATGTAGGAAATCACTTTGGGAGCTTGAAGGAGGTTTACTCAAAATGATAAATACTCTTTCTCTAGATCAGCTGTGCACTTTAATTTGTGAAGGAGCAGCTCAACCTGTGGGCACTCCATGTAGTGTATGCTCTAGTGTGAGTAGTAGTGATGATTTGTTTATTGACTGATTGATTTTCCTAAGCAGTCTGGGAAGGCTAGTTAGATTTAGGTGATTATATTGCTCTTTTTTTTTTTTTCCCTTGGCAGCCAGGAGAACCACAGGAATTGCTTTTTAGTGAATGAATTTTAGATTCTACCTCTGTCTTCCCCATTTTACTGAAACAAAAAAATGTATTTTATTGATTCTAATGTAAGTACTTTTGACATCTTATTAATTTTGCTAAAAATGAGATATATCTTCCAGTTAATGGCATGATAGATATGGTGTGTTATCATATAAAAAATAAAAAATGATGTTTTATCTTTTCTTAGTGGCACATAAGTTAATAATTCAGTTCACAATTGATGCTGTCTTATTATTTTATGAACTATCAAATATTTCCTCTGGGGCAGTAAAGCACCTCAGATCCTTTTTGGAACAGCATTGATGTGTAAATATATCTCTAAATACAAATACATTTATTAATTATGGTTGTTGATTAAATCAACCTCTCGGTTGTTAGCCTGGATCCCTGAAAGAGTGTGTTGATTTTGATGTGAACTTTTCCAGGGTATTAGGTAGAATCGGGTCTTCATGAGAAAATAGGGATTAAATGATTGGACAAATTATATTTAATATAATAGGCGTAGGAATCCTCAGCTTCTGCCCTCTCTGATTACCTGTTTCCTCTGGCTGTTGGCATGTGATACATTAAGGTTGAGAGTCCTGTTTAGCTAGTTTTGCTAAACTAGGTCTTTTACCTTTGTCTGGTCTGTTTGAAGCCCAGGTCTGGACTGACGCCTTGCCTAAACCATTACTTATGCACCTGCACACTGTAAAGGGAAACTCTGCAATCTTTGCTGCATTTCATTTTGAGGCTCAGACCACAAAACACAA